GGCTTGATTTGATTTCGAAACATGTTTCGTGAATGGAAATTATTGTTTAACTGTTGTTTCGCATACATAAACGTAATGTAATCGAGAGAATTGTATGGGTCGTATAATGCATTTCGATAGATATCAGTAATACACCGAAACTGAGATCCGCACACATTAATGAAAGTACGCGAATACAGCAGAGCTAAAATATGTTCGATATGTACTGCACACATTATTGATTTAAATTCGTTGCAGAGCTTAATCATGATTCGACTTAACTTTGATACGTTTTTTAAATGTTGAAATTACTGTATTACGAGCATTTAGCAATGATTTCTAAAGGAATGTATACGTCATTATTATGATGCATTTCAAATAGAGATCATCATAATAACGTTTGAAAACGAATTGGTTTCGTTAAACAATTAGTTGATAAGGAGAGCAGAAAAGTGAACTGTTTTTGTTGCTCTGTATTACGAATAGGACTTGCTAAATTGTTCTAGTTGAATTCAATGGATAAAATTCATCTTTATTCTCTTACCATTTGCTTCGAATAATGAAACTGTGTACAACTGTACCTGTGAGTGCATCTGTGTTACAATTCTTCGTTTTTTAGATTTTTTCCCTGTTTATATCTATAGCTGGGGTGGAAGGCAACCGAATGTGACAGAATTCTTCGTATGAATGACTAAGGTGAAACTTGGTTATCAATAATGTTTTGTATTCAAAAAATTTGTGATAGATTTGACCTTTACCTAAAAATAGGTAGGATTTACCAATCGGTGCGATGAGTATATAGTCAAAATTGGATTTGATATAAGTTTACCTGGTGGAAAATATAGTTGCGATGTGTCTTTGCTAAGAGTTCCCAATTACTTCAGCTGCTGAGCACGTGCTTCAGTACACGTTTTTCAGCACTTGGACAGTGCGATTTTCAATTAACAAAAATACCAGACCTTAGCTTCGGATGTCGAACAGTTTCTCAGAAATACGATGGGGCAGCGACATCGATGGCAATATTCTGAAAAACAATTGTGAGATAATATGGAGCATAGAAGTGTATGTAAGTAATTTATAATGCGTGTTCTTTTTAATGTATTTTCTTTCAGTTGCAGAAACAAAATTCAATCATTATAAAAATTAACCATGGAGAGTCTCATGTAATTTATATGCGGTGACCGTTGGGAAAGGCTAGTTGTACGACACCAACGGACACCGTGGAAGGTTCCAATCTGAAAATAAAACAAAAATGATTCGAGAAAATTTTTTCGGCAAATTCATTTCAAATAATGTAATTGTAATGTGCAATGTACAGGCAAAATATCTTGCAAACTCTTCTACTGTGAACAATGTACGAGTGAGGCATGGGCACCCATAACTGATTTTCCAATCTAAGATATCCGTCATTCTCGGTGAGTCGATTTCCGATAATTTTCGTTTCTTCGGCGCTGTACTTTGCGATACCATCCACAAACACTGCTGCTTACTGCAACAGTAATGTTAAATGACAGCATATGCATATTTATATATGGATGGTACACAGTATGAGAACCAACAGATTTTTGGATTATGCAAAAAAAATGACAGCCAATGTCAAGTAGCAAGAACTCATAGCTACCGAAGTAATCAGACGTGTTCAAATATGCTGCACTTGCAACATAATGAACATGTCAGCCTATGAGTTAAATATTCTGAATCTTCTATTGTATTTTAAAAAGTTTTGCGCAAAAAGAGCTTGCAACACAACAACTCAGCCTAATATTTTCTAAAATATTAATTTCAACTTAATGTAAGCTTAAATTAGTGTAAGAATTTTAAGTTTTAGCTGAGTTGAACTCCATCTCGAAAACGAGCACAGGAATATATTATGATTTGATAAATCTATGCAAAGAATCAACTCAATTTACTAGATTTCAATCTCTCACTGATTTACCATCATTGTATTGCATTTAAGTGTCATTACAACAATGTATTTATCAATCCTTCAATAATTCGCTCTCAAGGGATAGAATTGAAGTGTTCGGAATACATTATGCGTTAAATTAAAGCATTTAGAGCATTATAATTATCAATATTATCGGAACGGTTTATACAAAATGATGAATTTAGAGTCGCATAAGTTGAAGTGTTTGTAACACATTACAAGAGTAAATATTAACAGAACGCTGATTCATGCAAACTGATGAATATGCGATAATCACGCGTAAACTGAAGTATTCGAAATATTCTCTTGTTGAATAGAAACAGAACTACGCTTTTCATGAAAAACCTTGAATTCGCGAAGTTCAGGCATAAACTACAGTACTCGAGACACACAATAACAGAACGGTGATTCTATGCAAAATGATAAATTTGCGATGCCTTCGCATGAATTTGACTATTCGAAATACATTTTATTTTTAAATAGAAGCAGGGCGGTGGTTTTGTGCAAAATGATGAATTTGCGATGTGTACGCATACTGATGAGATGGCGATACCTACGCAAGTATCACAAATTCATCATTCATCGAAGAACCGCTGTTCTGTTTGTATTTGAAACAATAATGCGTTTCAAAAACTTGATTTATGCGAAAGTATCACAAATTCATCATTTTGCAACACAACCATCGCTTAGTTTGTATATTAAACTTGAATGTGTTTCAAATTTTTTTAAATGCATACGTATCGCAACGTCATCTATTTGCATACAACCACCGTTGTGTTTCTATTAAAAATAGAATGTGTTTCGAACACTTCATCTTATGCGAATGCATCGCAAATTCATCATTCTCCATAGAATCACCGTTCTATTTGTTTTTGAAAATAAAATGTGTTCAAATACTCTAATTTCTGCAAAAGTATCGCGATGTGACTGAAAAAATAATTCAGACGGAAAATTTTTTTTACGAGAAAAAGATTTGGATAATTGACTTTTTATGAGAAATAAGTTTCTCTCGCTGTCTTAAATATTTTGCCAATAGTAACACAATCACGCCTCACCCTATTAGCTTACCATACATCTGCAGTCTCTTTTTTGTAGACAGGGCATAGTGATACATCAAATTATAGTTGGGTAGGTCGAAATATGAATATCCTTTAACAAGCATCACCAGCTCGCAGTGATTCATGTTCAAAAAATCTAGAGCATTGAACATAGACTTCGTAAGATTTGTTCATGAAATGAAATAAAAGATAGGAATACGTTTGGCTTGAACAAGGAAAAGTTGTCCTGGAAGTTATTTCCATAATCAATTTAATTTTATTCGCAATATCATCGTTCTGTTCCTATTTGAAGTCATAATGTGTAACAAATATTTCAATTATGCGTAGGTATCGCAAATTGTTAATTTTGCATTAACATACTGCTTTGTTTCAATTGAAAAATATAATGTGTTTCGAATACTTCAATTAGTGCGAAGGGGTCGCAAATTCATCATTTAGCATGAAACCACTGCTCTGTTTGCATTAAAAATAGATTGTTTTGAACGCTTTATATAACGCGAAAGCATCGGAAGTTTAACATTTTGCATGAAATCACTGTTTCGATTCAAAATTAGAATGTTTCGAATGCTAAAATTTTTACTCAAATTCGCAAATTCATCATTTTGCATAGCATCATTCTGTTTGTATTCAAAAATAGAATGTTTCAAAAATTTCAATTTATGTAATTGGAATGTGTTTGCAATGCTTTATTTTGTGCGAAAAAATCACAAGTGTATTTTCCATAAAAAAAGCTTATGGAGATACCATTCATGTTCAAAATTGTTATGGTAGAAAATTTTCTATCTTAAAGAAATATATGGCCAATCATTGAACAGCTATTGAACATAGATCATAACTCATTCTAATTTTATTGCTTACTTACTGAAGTGTTTTGTCAGGTACCATGCTAGATGTGCTCAATGATATCATTATAAAAGCTTTGTTTTATCGTTCATTGAGATGAGTTTGATCAGATTAGAAAGGTGACAAAATACCGTGTGAAGAATGGCGTGTTATGAAAGAGTACTGCTATTTCGCAAAGCAATAAAACGAAAATCTTGCCAAGTAACACTTTCATTTATTTAAATTTTCAGATGCATCATTCAAAGCAAAGCTTTTATTTCTTGAACCACTGTCTCAATATATTAGCAACAAAATGAATATATGCTAATCAATAGCGAACTCTGCCAAATGTTGCGAGATTTGAAAATATATAAAATCGGTTAATCAGTTGATACCATCTAGTATATAAAACTTATTTACAAACTCCACACTGATCTGCTTTTCAAAAAAAGTTAATTATGCTTTGGACAGGAAAATCGAAAAGATCATTAGGCATAATTCTCATCACTATTGTTTAGTTGATCATTTTATTCATTAAAAGTGTATTGAATGGTTCCATATTCCAACAAGACCTCATTGATTTTCACTTTTTTCAATCCTGTTACTTCATTCGCTAAATTATTCGTTGATTTCCAGTTAAATAATTTTCGTGTTGTCGATGGTAATCATCATTGTTTTGGATACAGATGTCAGGTCGAAGCAGCATTGCTATAATTCGATTCTGAAACTTTACTAAAAAAGAAATACAACATAAAACAATATCAAGTTGAGAAATAACGATAGAGACAAGAACAAATATTGAAATGAAAATTTCTGTCATTTCTATACATTTGAAGGATGTGTAGTTTCTGCAATCGTATATTTTACATGTGATAAATAATTATGGTTGTCAGATTAACACATGTTTGATTACTAAATAATAATGATAAAATATATGAATTTTAATTCATTATCGAAGGTATTATAAAATTCAAGTCAAACTTTACATCACATTTCAAACGGGAGGTATCCGTCATCTATCTGCACATAAGAATCATTGTCAGTCGCCATGCAGGTTGATCGGCAGCAACAGAGAACTCCCTCAGTGAATGTAACATTTCTCTGTGTTGCAATCGCACTTACAGCTATGCAGCGTACTGGTTTATTCGAGTTCTCCCATATCTTGTTTGTGCAAATAGAAAGCATACGGAGTTCTGGTTTTGTGGCTATGATTTTCTCAATCTGATCAATGCACCCGCGCTAAAAGAAACTAAATTTATAACTGATCATACCTGATCACAAGTGCTGCATCCAAAACGGCACTCTATGAATTTATGATGACCTTGATAAGAGTTTACATGATTTACTATACATTTCTTCAACATAATGTTTTTGCTAGTGAGGAATTATTAGTTCATGAAAGTGTATAACTTATGATATCACATAATAACATTTCTAATCCGCTTATACTGATTGACATAATGTTGCGTGCATGACTTCTTCACCTCACTCGTGCCTTCAACAGTATGAAAATCGAAGCATCCTTTTCTGGTTTTGCATGCACGTCTCACACCGGCTGCTATGAAACATCTGGGCGTACTTTGTAATTCATGTCTAGTACTTTGAGCATGAATTATTTCCGGCAACAAAATGAATCGAAGGTTATGCTCTCCTGCAGTGATTTAATATTTGATTTTTATTAGTAGATAGAGAATTGCTATAATAATCGAAGATTATTTTCTTTATTGTCTTTTAATTATTTCGAAAAATGATTGTGGTTTCACATTTTGTTTTTCATACAGGTAAGAGACATAGTCAAGAAATGCTTGCAAACAAGAAAAACTAGAAATGTGAGAAAATGTAAAAAACTTTACTTGTTCGCTTTGCAAACAAGTGAATGAAAATACTGCTTATCTATAACGTGCACGTGACAGATTTTAATTATGAGAAAATCGCAAATGAAAAG